CTTTAACGTTAAATGGACGTGTACACCGACATTTGTTTTTATATGAGTATTGTAGATAAATTTAAAAAAAAAATTATAGTCGGAGAATATATTCCACTACAGTGAACATAAAAAATATAAAAAGAATAGAATGGATTTGCATATGTAGAGTAGTAACCATACGACTAGGTCACGTTTACTGTTGTTACTTGTTCAGTGGAGTATATGCTATGCATGTTGCATAAATTTGTTTATTATAATGGAAGACCAAGCATTTGGCAAAAATTCAAGAAAAAATGAAGAGGTTGCTAATTTTTTTTTTTGGAAAACTGCTTTGTTGGGTAATTTTTGAGACGCAATCGGGCTCATCCTGTCCAAAAACTGAGAAAAAATTAACAATTTGACGGCCACACTAACATAGTAAAGCACGTGTGACGCTCTCTCTCTCTCTTGCTTCTCTCTTCTATTTAGTATTTATAGTGCAGACAAAATCAAACCACTTGTAATGAGTTATTTTAAGCACAATTTCACATTAGTCTGATTCATGCAAACATCTAAACGTTACTGCTGCATCGCCACCATGGTCAATATGTACTTACCTCAGCCACCTGTTTATTAAAGCTGTAAAATATTATCAAAAAAAAAAAAACAATCTGATGCTCATTTGAATTTGAGCAACTTTATTTAATGCATTAAATGTAAAAATCATGGTCAAAAAATAAAATAAAAGACATTCACAACAAAATATTTGTTTTCAATTTTAAGAACTTAATTTAGAAGCGCTTGGCACTTTCGGAAAATCAAGGCAAGTATGGTAAAATATAACACTGTTATAACATATTGATTCATGTTATATTTACCATAAAATTATGTTAGTAATTCGCAGGTGAATAAAACAGCAGACATCAATTATTTATGTACAACAATTATGCGCAATTATGCGATTGATTATTAATTTAATTAATTGTCAATAGACGTCGTGCGGGTTATGACATATGATCGCACACACACACATATGAATTCAATATCGTATGATATAAGGACTTAATTGTTAGGTATATGCGGTCGTGATTTCTTCGTTAGTGTCAATCAGACCACTGGACCGTACAGATCGAAGAATTGTCATCAATTGTCTTTCTTAATAATTGTAAAGAAAACGCATGAAATGTGGGAGTTAAAAATCCCAAAAATAAGCCCAGTAACGGGTCTCATAATTGTAACTATGTTCCTGTTTTTTATGATCTACTATCGCGAAAAATTGAAAGAAATGTTCGGAGGAAATTCGACTGAAACCAATACGGATCATACGGGTTTAATGCATCATCCAACCAGAAAAATGAGACGCTTGAAACCATTCAACACAAGTCAGCCACAACAAAACAAAACCCATTAAAACTATTTATTCCACACACAATGTAATTTAAAGATAAAAATAAAAACGATCCCAAAAAGTTGCACCATTTTAGTTTATATTTATTTGTGAATGTACCAAAGTTTCTCTGATGCAGAAAAAATTGACATTCGCATAAGAAAAGAAATTTTTTCTTCTGTCTAAATTGGCGGCAAATTATGTCTGAATGACCGCGAAAATTGCCATATGCAAAACGATGGCCGCGAATATCACACATATGTCAAATATCATTTAGATGCGGGTGTGTTTATTTGCGGTGATTAAAAAAAATTTGCATTTCAGGAAGAAATATTCGGAAAACCGCTGGATAATTTGTTGCGGTGTATTTAAGCTTTATTTATTACAGAGACTTTTCATCTTCACGACAATATTGTTAAAAAAATGAAAAAAGAGATCCACATAATTTGGATGTTTTTGTAAATGAATCACGTACTGTGCCATCCACAGCAACACTTATATTGAAAAAAAAAACAGCTTAATTGTCTTTAACATTGACCTTTTTTGAGCAGTAGTAGTGAAAAACGAAAATGGTCTCCTCTCTACTCACGCAATGCAGAATCTTTTTTTAAATACTCGTCATTTACGTAACTTTATCCACACTAGAATTTTATTCAAACCTCAAATCTTTTATTTTCAGAATGAACTCAATCATACTGTCTACAATGTTACTTATGCAGCCAAATGCAATTCAGTGATGCTCTTTCTATTTAACATTTGTCGTCAAGGCAAATAATTTTAGTTTCAAGCACAATATTCCATTCATAAACTAATCAAAAACATATCATATGTATACGTCACCACTGCACTATTATTATCACCTTTATGAATCAATCCAAATTCCTATAAAAACTTAATTAAAAGATATTTCTCTCTATGAATGGCACCTTTCGAGACATGGCAAAAAATTAAAAATGCCAAACACTCAAACGAATACTGATCTACGGAAGATGTTTTCACTCACTGTGTTTGATAGGCATTAATTGAGCACATTCATTGCATGGATCTTTATTGTAGCACGTAGAAACATATGCGAAATATGGCCACACTTTTTAAATCGCCACGATGGCGAAAATAAAAACTGAAGAATTGAAGGATGACTACCAAAAACTTGTCAAAAGACAGATTGTGCGTATGTGTGAGGGAGTTTGTTCACATTAGTTTCTGATTAAATTTTGATCAACCTTGTGAAATACAACATTTTTTTCAACGAGTACCATAGTCTGTGGCCACAGAAAAAATACAACTTTTTGTTAATATTGCATCCTCAAAAATGAAAATGAATTCAAGTAAAATTAAGCAAAATGAAATTCTTAATTTTTTGGAATATTTTTTCAAAGTGAAGATCACTTTGAAAATTCGACTATTTTAACAATTTTTGCAGGCTCTAATCATCGTCAACTGCATTTTAATAAAATTCTACAGAAAAATGACTTACGCATAAAAAGAGATTTTTGAAGATCATTGACCTCTACTTTGACCTTAACTGACCAACACAATATTAGTAATATTGTGAAATTAACTACTGACACAATTCAGAATCATACTTAACGGAGTCCACTACTTACCATGAGCTTTATATACAAAAGCCATAGACCTTAAATCGTTTAGTCCTTCTATATATAAACGAATCGCACATAATAAGCCAAAAATAAAAGAAAAAAATATGTAAAGGGCCTACGAATGAAATATAATTTAAATGCACTTCGTTCAACTGTCAACGATCTTATTTTCAGATTCAAATCACTCAGCAAACAATGTCACTCATGTTGTCGTATGAATTCATCTTTCTAAGAAGCGTTTATCGCGCATACAATATCAAACCATTTATGAAATTCAATTCATGGTTTTTCATTAAATTTTAAATAAAAATCGATCATCGATAACGGTTTCCACAGAGCCCAGAACAAGCTGGGGAATTCTGATTCAAGACTCAATGTGTTATTTTCAATTGTCTACAGGCTATTAGATAAATAAAAGCCGGATTTCGTTTGACATAATTTCAGTTAAATCGATTTAGTTTTCATTCATTAGAATAAAAACATACAGTTCGTAAGTTTAATAAAATAAAATTCAAAACAACGAATCTAAATACTATTTCCCTTTACTTAGTACTTAACACACTTCAAATCCAGCTGAGAAATGAATTTGACGTTTTAAAATATAAACAAATAAAAATAACATGACATAAGAAAATCACTCTTACATTTCAACACTAAAGAATTTCAAATTAATTCATAATTTTCATGTGATTCATTTCAAATTGAATTTTTCAATGAAAAAAACGTGAAAATGGAGAATATTCAAACAAACGAAGACATGCAATCACATACATCGTATAAAACCACTGAAAAAGAGAATGAATGTAAGTTTGATGCGGTGTACGGAAAAATTTCTATGTTAAATAAAAATTATTCTTACTCCAATCATTAATGATCTCACGTTTTTTTTATCAAAACTTATATTCTCTACCAATTTCAGTTTGTCCACCCGAGACGCCAAAAACCAACAACTATTACATGTTACTGGAAGAAATGTGTGAAATCAACAGGTTACCATTGTCATTGCATCGTCTGCTTGGCAATTTGATTCAGAAAGACGTCAAGTCGCCTAGTGAGCTCTTAATCGCAGTAGTCTACTATTTATTTCTTGAATCAGGATTTGTGCCGCTTACTCTACGAAGCGAACAACGTTCCACCATCCGAACGCATTGGGGCTTTAGTTTTATTGCTCAAGTTCCAGATTATTCATGCATTCTTGCCGCCGATGAAATAGTGGAACAACATCGAAAATGTGCAGAGGCCACAACGGAACAAAATTACGAATTTAAATTGAATTTGTTGGGTCATTCGGACAAAGAGATGCCACTGATCATTCGAAAGATATTCGGTGGAGGTGTTTTGTGTGTAAACCTTTCATTGGGTGAATCCAATCAATGGAGTAGCATTGTATTGTCTGTGAATGAATTCATTCCAGCGAATGAAAGCTACGACATCAATCTTATCGAAGAAAATCCACAAAAGTACTTCACAAATGTTCGAAAACTGAATGAACATGTTAAGCAAATGCTTATTGCGCCATTACGAAATATGGTGATGTATGAAAGTGCCTATCCAAATGCTGCATTACACGGAATGCCAAAGGAGGTATTGTCTGCACTATTTGGTTATTTTCGTGCGGATCTGAAAACATTGCAGAAAATTTCACAAACATGTGTCTATCTACGAAATATGGCCATTTCATTCCTGCAAGAGTCAAAAATACAACTGAAACATCGACGACCAACACCAATGATTTATGACGCATCCGATCACATCAATCGACCATATTCAAGATATCGCATTTTTAACGATATTCCCGAATTATTTTTCCATCGATATCATCCACAAATTTACCATTATCCAAATCGATGATTTCGTTTTTAGAGATTAAGTTTGATTTTTGAATCGAGGTACGAAATAAATCCCACAAATAATTGATTCAATGAAGACTTTGTTCATCTTTTATTACATAGTTATATGTACCGAGGCCACTTTCCTTGTATTCAGGTGCGGCACTTGAAAAATAGCTGAGGGAACTCCGGTGCCACTATCAGATTTGGTTTTATTAACCGAAAAAATCCGAAACCCACTCTTTATAAGGTGAGTTACAGAAGTAAATACTTAAGACAATTTGACATGTACATTTTCGAATAAAGAAAATTTGACACATAAATGAAAGAAAACACATAAATAATAACAAAGGATGCACAATCATAATTTTCGATACGAAATAGGATATTTATCATGGCCATAATCAACACAGGTAAGATAGTTGTTGTTAATTCAAATCAAGAAATAAACTCATGAATTTTACTTTTCTAAGTTCATCAATGCTTGTTCTGTGCAAAAACATTTGGCACGGCCACTGAAAAAGACGACCATACCTTAGAACATTTTGCCCAAGAAACATGCAGAGATTGCGATCAGAAACTGCTTCGAATCGGTGGCAGTTTATACACATTACACAATTCGATAACCTGTATCAGAGGTCAAGACGTGAAAGTAGAGAAAGATATCGCAATGTCGCGTTGCGGCAATGAATTTATGCAGTCAACTGAAAATCAAAGTGACAAGTTTAGCGCGACTAACGATATCGATTATCTTTCAAATTCACCGATTGTCGAAATGAGAAAACTACCAATCAAACCAGAGCCTATATTGAAGCCATCCGAACCAGAGAATGTACTACATCAGCTGGAACATGGATTGAATAATCATCCTGAGAGAATTGAGAATGAAATTGACTCAGACGGTATCCTTGAACATGACAATTATTCAGAAAACATTGAGACGGTCACAAGCAATACACAAAATGACGTCAAAGGGAATCAAAATAAAAAAGAACGTGTCCAATGTGATTTGTGTGGAAAACTGATAGCAAAAAGTTATTTGTTGCAACATAAGAAAATGTTGCATCGGGCTCCCGGTAAGTATGTGTTTCAAATTCAGGAAATGTAAGCAGATGTAATTGAAAAGGTTTCTTTCCCCTCATTTTTCAGAATTATCGGGTTGTACGTATTGCTGCAAAATATTCACAAAAGATGGGCTTATCAGCCACAATACGGTGTGTTCGTCAAGAAGAAAAAATCCGGTCGAATACAATTGTGATAATTGTAACAAGATTTTCCATTCACCGCAACGTCTCAATACTCACTCTTATTTCAAGCATAAGGTTGTGCGGCCGGGATGTTTGCTTTGTAAAATATGTAATCGAATTTTTTCGAATAAAATGGAGCTATCGAAACACAAGCCGGAATGTGAGCTGAAAAAGCATAACAGAAAACTTCGGCAACTTGGCAAATTTTCGTGTCCACTTTGCAACAAAACTTTTGGCTCAAGACCCTCCATTCGGCAACATATAAATTGGATTCATAACGAAAACAGAAAAATTGCATGTGAAATTTGTCATGAATTACAAACCAAAGCCACAATAGAAGAACACAAACGATTGCATAAAGTATCAAAAACATATGCATGTCACATTTGTAGCAAAATAGTTGCGAATGAAAAAGAGCTCATGTGTCACAAGCAAAATTGTGTGCTTGAATTTAAATGTGATATTTGTAAAAAAGTATTTAATACAAAAGTTTCAATTCGCCAACACATCAATTGGATTCATAATCCCGAGTATAAGAAAAACAATCAGGTTGCTTGTGATATATGCAATAAATTGATGAACAAACCGGCATTGGAAGGTCATAAGATTCGAAAGCACAGCAAAAAAGGCACAATCTTTTGTCGGTTGTGCACGAAGATTTTTTCAAACGAAATTGAACTTGCGATTCACAAACAGGAATGTCTAGTGAAATTCAATCAACAGGATAACAACAAAATTGGTAAATATAAATGTGATTTATGCCACAAGATCTTTAATGCCAAGCGATCACTTGGGCAGCACAAACGAATCAGTCATAAACTTAAAGGCAGACAAAAATGGAAAACAATTGTTTAATTTGTAAGAAGCTATGCTTCATTTTCCAATATTTGCATAGTATTGAATAAACTGATAAAAGTCTTCAAAGAATTGGTTTCACTTTTTTTTAAGTAAATTTGGTAACGTTAAGTACTTTGATTGAAAGTTTGACATTTCTCTGTGAATGTGTAAACAATCAAAGTTTGACACTTGAAATAGAAGCGCATTTGAATAAAAAGCAAAATTTACCATAAAATTGGAATCTGAAAAGTTATTTTCGCTGTAACAAGACATCAGACAACATTATGACTGCAATTATCACAGGTAGGTTTTCAATCAAATCAAATTAATGTGGATGCGTTGGTTAATCTCCATTTTTTCAGTTCATCAATGTCTATTTTGTCCAAAAACATTCGACACTGCCATCGAAAAAGACGATCATGTTTTGGATCATTTTGCACAAGAAACGTGTATGGACTGTGGTCACAAACTACTTCGAATCGGCGGAAATTTATATACCATTCACAATGCCGTTACTTGCGTCAGAACTGACATAAAAACCGAAGAGACGCAGTGTTATTTCAATCAAACCGAGCAACAAATTGAAAATCCACTGAAGTTGACTAACGATAACGGCAATCGGGGTCGATTTGCCATCGAAGAATCAGTGTGCATGGAAGAGTTACACATCAAACCAGAGCCATTTGATCAATACGAGCAAGAGAGTACGCTTATGGAGAACGAAACTAATATGTTATTTCCAATGACCCAAGTAGCCACAAAATCCCATGTTGACATCACTCCAAGAATACAAAGCGCGGCTTCCATTGAAAATGATAGCAAAAAATACACACAACCGAATTCGAGCAACGTCCAAGTTAATAAACAGCAATTGAAGAATAATCACACTATAAATGGAGCGCCAAAACGAAAACAAATGATAGAGCCCACCATGAACAAAAAGTCTTCTTTTAAAAAATTGCAAAAAATTATTGGAAAACTATTACCGCGCGGTTTAGATAGCATAGTTTACGAAGCCGGTTTTGATTCGGAGTATTCATTGTCAAAAATCAATGCGCAATCGATTAAATTAATCGAAGATTACATCAACGAAAACAAGCATATCCTAAGAGGCACATTATACGAGAGTGTGATTGCTCAGAAGTCAGTGTTTAAATTGAAACCGGGTCACAAAGCGGTTATTTTGAATTTGCCACAAGAACTTAAAGACTGTAGACCGAAAAAAATTCCAGAACCAATGCCAGACATGATGTCATTTGAAGATGAAAAAGCGACACTATCGGAAGCACTAGTGAGAAAAATCACGAATTTTGCCAGCAAACATTCATTCGACATTGCACTAGATGTAGCACAAGTATTTGAGTACCGACGAGAAAACGGAATTATCAAATGCAGTGTCGAATGTCCATTTTGTGTTAGTAGAATCAAATGCTACTATGAAAGATATTGGAGAGTGAGTAATTTTGAGAAACATTTAAAAATGTTGCATTTTGGCCAAACGAAATAGAAATAGAGTAAATCAATCGAAGCTTTGAAGATTGAAAAATAATGAAGAGAGACAAAGACACACCACAGATTAAACACAGAACCATGGACAAATACATATTGTTTAGTTTGTTAGTTTGTGCTACCGTTAAATAAATATTATGACCAACTGAAAATTGAAATCTCGTTTAATTTGTGAGAAAAGAAATTAAAACAACACTTTTTCGACCGAGTAAAGTCCATTTTATAACATTACAATTCAAAGGGATATTTCAAAATAAAATATTAATACAAGCAATTAAAAAAAAAACACGAAATTTGTTTAAAATAATTCTTTCTATGTTATTTCCCGCCAAAATCAAACGACTTGCATACAGCAGAGCCGCACTTCTAATGACACGGAAACTTAAGACAAGGACGTAGAATAGTCTTTTTTTATATAGAAATGAACTTGAATGTATTGATTTTATTCACTGTGTCATAGGTGAACTATCATTACAGTAAACTGTATCCCTTAATATATATTATTTTGGAAATATTCTCGCAAATAAAAACAATCATTGATATTTAAAAAAAAATACATATTTATTTAATTAATAAAAAGTGTATTTTCATCTCAACTCATAGTAAAAGATGTGAGTCTAGCGGATCTATTTTGAAGATGTATAAAAATACACGCTACACCATCCAAATATGTCGAAAAGATGTGGTGTGCGTAGTGTTACGCACATGTGTTGCGTGTACCAAAACCTGATTTACAACAAACGACAGAATTGGATATACCACGGTGAGATGAAGAAGCGGAAAGAAAAATGAGCAATAATTAGTCAGAGCATAAAATCGTTGCGGACAGAGAGCACGATTACTTTTATATTCTTTGTATCAATACGATTTCAAAAGCGGACCCTAATGAGCTAACTAATCGTTTTTCTGATATCTTACTTGCGTGTTGTGTTATGATTTTATACTCTGAAAACAATACAAATTCAATCAAAATATTGCGGTAAGCATTTGAGCTTGAATTAGTTCTGCACGCAAGTATGACAATCAACCACGTAATTTCTGCTTTTTTCTATTCCAAATTACTATTTGATTCGTGTTGTATTGTGTTGGCAATTGAAAATAATCGTTACTAGAGCGACATAAAAAATATTACAATGAAATTAGTTTTATACAAAGTGAACAATTAATAAAAACAGATATTTGTGTTTAAACCGTTCAATAGTTATTTGTAATGAAACAAAGTGTTGAATGATGAACTCTTGAAAAAAGCTTTGAAAATTTTTCAGAACAACTAATAAGTATCCAATGAGTTTTGTATAAATTCAAAGCAGGTGTAGTATCACAATAGATAGTACCTCTACCGTGTATACGTAGAGTGAATTGACAAAATAAGTAATTTATTCATTCTTAAATAGTCAATGTCAAATCGAGAGTTTGAAGAAGACTACTCAGCAACGTGTTGGTTTTGCCTAACACATAGCGACGATACTGTGCGTATACTTACGCAACCGTCCACAGTACCATCATCATGCGTGCCTAATATGCTTTGCCTAACCGACACATTGGAACTTAGATATATGAGCGAACAATAATATCTTAAAATAAATTTCATCACCTGAAGTGTAAATTGTAGCACCTGAAAATCATCCGACGATGAGGTCAACATTCGTGTTAATTATTTTCGTTGGCATCTTATCGGTGTTTATGTTTGTGACGCAGTCTACCAACAATTTTAACAAATTTGAAAACAGAAAATTTACGAAAACGGAAAAAAGTGTCAAACTCAAAACTCCACGCTTAGATGATAAGGCGGATCGAATATTTTGGTTCCTTCAAGTATGTTTTGGTCTTTTTAGCTCTTTATTTGATTTGCATTTACCAATAAAAATCATTTCGATCTTTGTCACACGCTCAGATTTCCGACATACACATCAGTATCTTTAAAGATAAACAGCGCATCGATGATTTTCGTCAATTTGCTCACGAAACATTGGACACAATTAAACCGCGCGTTGTGTTGGCTTCCGGAGATTTGACAAATGCCGAATATGGGCTGTTTCATCATTCACGGCAGTACGAGGATGAATGGAAAATTTACAATGAAATTATCACAACTGCAAATGTTCGAAATAAAACAATTTGGATGGATATGCGGGGCAATCATGGTAAGAAATGTGAATAACATTAACGGATGGGAATGTTTTTTATCGTCATTTTGTTTTTACAGATAATTTCAATATACCGTTGAGCATGTCGAATATATCGCATTTCAAACGTTACTCAGTTCAAGGTGGCAAGCACCAAAGTTCATTTATGAAACTCATCGACACTTCCGCTGGGGAATTGTATGCGTTCATAGCGATTGATGTGAATATGGTACCAGGACCAAAATTGCCATTCAATTTTGTGGGAGTTTTAACACAAAATGAAACCGAAAAAATTGAACACTTGGTGAACGAATCAAAAAGGGCAAATTACACAATTTGGTTTGGACATTATCCAACATCATGCATTGCAACAAAAAACAATGAAAATCGTTCGATAAAACAAATAATTAGTGAAGTGGACACAAGTTTGACATATATGTGCGGTCATTTGCATACGTTTCTCGGATTGATTCCTCGCATGTATGCATTGCAGGAAAATCGATATCTTGAACTTGAGGTTGCCGATTGGAAAAAATGCCGAACATATCGTGTGGCTGCAATCGATAATGGTTTATTTTCGTTTGTTGACGTTAAACATGGTGTGTGGCCGGTGATTTTAATAACGAATCCAAAGCATTCACTTTTTCAAATTCCGCATCGAAACGAAGACAAAATACAAATCGGTGAGGTGATATTTTTCAGTTTTTCTTTTCTTTTAAAACAGATGAAGTAATTCAACTATTCCATTAGAATCAACGCATATTCGTATCATGGCCTTTTCGCCATCGGGCATCAAAAATTGTCAAATTATAATTGACAATGAGTTTGGAAAGAGCTGCAAACAGGTTAATGATAATCTGTTTGTCGTTGAATGGGATCCGCTGCGCTATCAAGATGGATTGCACTATATAAGTGCCATCGTCGTTGATAACGATGACCGTGAACAACGAGTGATGCAACCTTTTAGATTAGACCGAAAACAAACGCTTAAATTTGATATGATGGCAGAATTCATACTGAAAACAGAGTTGCCGTTCTTACTCCAAACAATCTTTTGGGTTTCATTGACGTTGTTTGTATTGCCACTCATTTTATTAAGAATTTGGCATGACCTGATCAAAGGTGTGCAAATTTTATTACACAAATTATAATTTCCGGTGATTGATTCATTTTTCTTTACATTTCAGTGGGTTTGTTGCGACAAAAGCGTGGAAATAGCCGATACTCAATGTCAATAGTACAACAATACTCCATATTAACATCAGTAAATCGAATTTTCTGGCCCATTATTGTTTACTGTATTTATCTTGCCGTTGGCCCCTGGATGGTATGCGAAATAATTGATGGTCATTATGGCATTGCATTTGCTTGGGGAATCTATTTGGATGGCGGCATTTTTCCATCACCAATGACATTTCTCTATGGAATCACTCAAATTGTAATGTGTCAAATGCCAATGATTTGGATTTTCTCGAAACGTCTGACCAAACGATATTATGAAGCAATTGGGATACCATCGAAAAAATCTCGGGGCAAATCATGTTCGTCGAGACAAATATCCAATATAATATTCTATGGTGTGATTTCAATCGAATTTGTGGCAACAATAATGTTCGGTATTTTCTATGACGCATTTGGTTATGTTGTTGGCATTTCTAGAACATATTCACTCATAATGAACATCGTTCTATGGCATCTGGCTGGTAATGTTCCAGACAATGCACTGAGGTAAGAAAACATGTTTGCTAGACACATGTATTCATAATATCCGAATAGTGATGTAATCGCCAATATTGAAATATTCTTCGTCTTACTATTTACGCAATGTATATCCAAAATAACATATATACATGTGCGCTGTGCACAAGTGCACACAGCACTCATCGAGTTCACGTCGATGGATTGTTGTTAAGATTTACTGTGTGATGCACATCAAATGGGTATAAACGTTAATGTGACTCAAATATCGGAAATATTAGCTCAAGTTCACAATTTAATTTTAATGCTTTTTGTCGATTCGAAAAACTGGAAGGAAAGAACTTCTTGAATAAAATGGAAACAAATTAATCCAATAATTCTTCATTTTTTATTTTCTAATAAAATTTTGAATAACAAGTGATTCATCGATTTTTTTTTATTTTAAGATTTCTATAGTTTGGGGATTAATATTGTTGTGTTTGGATCAATAGGAAAGCAAAGTATTTGATCGATGCTCTGAAAATGTAAAAAATTAAATATATGTTTAATTAAAAGAATTCTAATATTACATCTTTCCATTTATAAAATGGAATGGTATCCAATAATTTAGAAAAATTAACGCTGTCTTCCGTTGCTGGATACTTCTTTAAACTTTCTCTAATCTTTTCTACCTGAAAATGAATTACAGACAAATAGACAAATAATTTAAATCAACCAAAGTGAATGGAATGGAAGCACGCTGGTGCATATGTGAAAATTTGAAAAATATTTTTTCTGATCTTCTATGAATTTTGTTGCCTCTGCAAAATGGTCACAATCGGCTAGTGCAATGAGCCGAAAACACACTGGTGTAAAATGTGATATTTCGTTGGAACTTGAAATATCTAAGGCAATTTTTGGGTGCCTCAAATTTATCGCCAACATGGTTAGAAATGTTCCACTTTGCAATAATTGTGTCTCTTTGGACAATTTATTCCATAATTGCCGGCCATATTTTAAATGCCCTTCAGTATTTTGTCTAACTTTTTTCTCGTTTCTCGTTATTTTTCTTTCTTTGGAATCTTACCAACTTATAGCATGCAGCAAACGCATGACAGTTCATTTGGGCATTTTAAATTAATTTTCAAATTGCGAAGTTTAAAAAAGTATTATTTATTAGTTTCAAAAATGCATTAATCCCAAAAAGATCCCGCGACACTTTTAGTTGGCTCATATATTTCCCTTATGTTTTCAAAGACCAAAGAAATATCTATTGTTTATAATTTCTAAACTGAAGTGGCCAAAGTCTATATGTTTATTCTAGAATCTTTTGAAGTTTCAAAAACAAGACAAAAATGAATAAAAATTAAAAAACAACATTCAATTAAATTCTCAAAATGATTTATTCCTATTTATTTTCATGAATATCAACCAAATAAAAAATAAACTTTTTTTATTTTAAGATAAAACATTTGAAAATCTCATTTCTTCTCAAGCAAATGTACTTTTTTCTTATGTATTTTGATACCATTTTTGGAGTTTAATTGTTTATTACATCCATCGACATCGCAGTAGTAAGTTTTCTTTGCAGCATGATTTTGCATGTGTACCAGTCGCTTCATTGGATGATAGAATGCTTCTTCGCAACCCTCAAATTTACAGCGAAAATATTTATTTCCTGTGTGCCAATACATGTGATACCTTAGCGATTGTTTTGATTTAAATCCCCTTCCACACAAACTACATAGATGGTCCAGAATTTTCAAGTGCATTGCTTCATAATGATTTCGAAGTTCAGAATTTGTCTGACAGATCATTCCACACGTTTTACATTTTAAGTTTTCATTTGGCAGGTGTGTTCGTCGCATATGTCGTTTCAACGTGTCTATTTCTTTAACAACTTTCTGGCATAAATGACATTGGAATGTTTTGCCCAAATGTATATGTGGAAATCGGCTAATTTTCTTAAATTCACATATGACACGATGTTCGTCAAGCGCTTCAGCTGTGCTAAAAATCTTTCTACAGATACAGACATTCGTTCCGGCTGGACTGTGAAACCTGATTTGATGATTTCGAAATGATATTCCGCTCAATGTTCTTCCACAAATATCACATACAATATTCTGTGAGCTATTCTGACGATTCCTGGGGGTTGATTTTCTACTTTTTCCACATGGATGATTTTCGAATTTCGATTTATCGGTATAAACACGGCTGCATAATTTACAGCGAAACTTTTCAACGTTTGGATCATGCTCTAGCTGCATATGACGTAAAAGGCTATATTTTTGTGAAAATAACATTTTGCATATAGGACATTCATGACCAGCATTGTCGTTCGTTTCTTTTTTACATTTCGTTTTGTGATCGATCAAATCGCTGGCGGTTATGAACACCTCTTTACAACTAGTGCACGGATACGGTCCAGATGATAGGCCATGAACGGACATTTTGTGTCGCCGGACATTATTTTTGTCGAAGAACATCTTAAAGCATACATCACATTTGTTGTCGTTTTCAGTTGGTTTTTTCTTAACATAAATCGCTTCATTGATGTTGATCGGAAGAGCATCATTACTGTTTTGAATGGCGGTGAATGATGATGGTTGATTATTTTGCAGGTCTTTTGTGGAAATGTCATCCTCGTTTTTTATTAAATCAACATCGATAAGTTCATTTCCAATATTTTCACTGTCCTTTGAAGTACCAGCACCACCTTCACTCTCTAATTTCTCCGTTCGTTTTTTGCATTTGGGAAGATGTTTTTCCAGTGAGGATATTTGGGAGAATACAGCATGACAATAGGCACATTTGTATGTCACATAGCTCGGATCATGTTTAATGCGGTTATGTTTTCGAAGCGAGTCTTTTCGTGTAAAAACTATTTGACATGGTTCACATTGAAAATGGCCAGGTGCACTGTGTGTTATGGATTTGTGTCTTTTTAGAAATGATTGGTTCTTGAAGACTTTTCCGCAGATATCGCAGTCATTGGACTCAATATTTTGGTTGCTTTTCGATTCAGATGCACCAAGTGAGTGATTCGAATATGGCATTGGTTCAATGTTTTCATGTTGTTTGAGATCAGTACCGCAACTTTCTGCCAAATTGTTTGCATCCATCAAGATTAATTGTTCATTCAAGGCATTTATATCGGGCTTTGTTTCAATTTCTTTTATAAACAATGGATTCAATGTCGTATCATTGGGTATAGAGTCAATTTCATCGAATTGTTTGGTTAACTGTTGACATTCTTCAACTGGTTCTTCTGATTTGAAATCAACTTTAATACATGTTACGGCATTGTGTAGAGTGTACAAATTACTGCCAATTCGAATCAAGTTTTGGTCACAATCTCTGCAGGTTTCTTGCGCAAAATGCTGCAAAATGTGATCATCTTTTTCACTGGCACTTCCAAATGTTTGCGGACAAAACAAACATTGATGAACTGTAAACAATATATTTATTTAAAAAAAAATGTATTTTTTTTAAAGAATGTTAAGGACTAACCTGTTCTAATTTCATCCATACTAGCATAAAATTATTAATTTTTAAGAATTTTTGTCAATTCACAAATAGATCTGCGTTCTTTCACTGTGTTCGTATTATAACTAAATAAAATATATGCTGAAATGTCAAATAAATAATTTTATATAGAAAACGTCAACCAACTAAGTACTTTCGCGTTACTTACATTAAGTGTTCTGGGGTGTATTGATTTAAATTTCACTTTCGTACATGTTACAGTTGTTCGATTTGTTCCGTTGTTTTGTTTTCAAATGTAAAACAAATATCTGTTGCTTATAATTACTGGGCTTGCGTGAACTGTCATCATCTACATAAGTATTTTCTTGAGTATCAGTTATAGATAACATATTTACTGTAAAATCTTTTCAAGTACTTCGAGGATAGTTTAAACAAAACAAAACAACATTCAAATAATAAATTTTTATTCATTTTTATTAATGCTTTGCTACCAAATATGCATTTTTTAAGACATATTATTCGAAAATCTCATTTCTTTAAAAGCAAATGCATTTTTTTCTTATGTTCGTAGATACCAGTTTTGGTCGTTAATTGTTTATTACATCCATCGACATCGCAGAAGTAAGTTTTCTTTCCAGTATGATTTCGCATGTGTACCAGTCGTCTCACTGGATGATAGAATGCTTCTTCGCAACCTTCAAATTTACAGCGGAAATATTTATTTCCTGTGTGCCAATACATGTGATACCTTAGCGATTGTTTTGATTTAAATCCCCTTCCACACAAACTACATAGATGGTCCAGAATTTTCAAGTGCATTGTCTCATAATGATTTCGAAGTTCAGTATTGGTCTGACAGATCATTCCACACGTTTTACATTTTAAGTTTTCATTTGGCAGGTGTGTTCGTCGCATATGTCGTTTCAACGTGTCTATTTCTTTAACAACTTTCTGGCATAAATGACATTGGAATGTTTTGCCCAAATGTATATGTGGAAATCGGCTAATTTTCTTAAATTCACATATGGCCCGATGTTCGTCAAGCGCTTCAGCTGTGCTAAAAATCTTTCTACAGACACAGACATTCGTTCCGGCTGGACTGTGAAATCTGATTTGGTGATTTCGGAATGGTATTTTTCCGCTCAATGTTCTTCCACAAATATCACATACAATATTTTGTGAGCTATTTTGACGATTCCTGGGGGCTGACTTTCTACTTTTTCCACATGGATGATTATCGAATTTCGATTTATCGGTATAAACACGGCTGCATAATTTACACCGAAACTTTTCAACGTTTGGATCATGCTCTAGCTGCATATGACGTGAAAGGCCTTGTTTTTGTGAAAATAACATTTTGCATATAGTACATTCATGACCAGCATTGTCGTTCGTTTCTTTTTTACATTTCGTTTTGTGATCGATCAAATCGCTGGCGGTTATGAACACTTCTTTACAACTAGTGCACGGGTACGATCCAGATGATACGCCATGAACAGACATTTTATGTCGCCGGACATTATTTTTGTCGAAGAACATCTTAAAGCATACATCACATTTGTTGTCGTTTTCAGTTGGTTTTTTCTTAACATATATCGCTTCATTGATGTTGATCGGAAGAGCATCATTACTATTTTGAATGGCGGTGAATGATGATGGTTGATTATTTTGCAGATCTTTTGTAGAAATATCATCCTCGTTTTTTATTAAATTAACATCGATAAGTTCATTTCCAATATTCTCATTGTCCTTTGAAGTACCAGCACCACCTTCACTCTCTAATTTCTCCGTTCGTTTTTTGCATTTGGGAAGATGTTTTTCCAGTGATGATATTTGGGTGAATACAGCATGACGACAATAGGCACATTTGTATGTCACATAGCTCGGATCATGTTTAACGCGATTATGTTTACGGAGCGAGTCTTTTCGTGTAAAAACTATTTGACATGGTTCACAATGAAAATGGCCGGGTGCACTGTGTGTTATGGATTTGTGTTTTTTTAGAAATGATTTGTTCTTGAAGACTTTTCCGCAGATATCGCAGTCATTGGACTCACTACTTTGGTTGCTTTTCGATTCAGATGCACCAAGTGAGTCGTCCACTTGATTTGAATGTGGCATTGGTTCAATATTTTCATGTTGTTTCAGATCAGTATCGCAACTTTCTGCCAAATTGTTTGCATCCATCAACATAAATTGTTCATGCAAGGCATTTATATCGGGCTTTGTTTCAATATCTTCTACAAACAATGGATTCAATGTCGTATCATTGGGTATAGAGTCAATTTCATCGAATTGTTTGGTTACCTGTTGACATTCTTCAACTGGTTCTTCTGATTTGAAATCAACTTTAATACATGTTACGGCATTGTGTAGAGTGTACAAATTACTGCCGATTCGAATCAAATTTTGGTCACAATCTCTGCAGGTTTCTTGCGCAAAATGCTGCAAAATGTGATTATCTTTTGCACTGGCACTTCCAAAAGTTTGCGGACAAAACAAACATTGATGAACTGTAAACAATATGTTTATTTTAAAAAAATGTATTTTTTTAAAGAAATTTAAGGACTAACCTGTTATAATTTCATCCATACTAGCATAAAATTATTAATTTTTAAGAATTTTTGTCAATTCACAAATAGATCTGCGTTCTTTCACTGTGTTTGTATTATAACTAAATAAAATATATGCTGAAATGTCAAATAAATAATTTTATATAGAAAACGTCAACCAATTAAGTACTTTCGTTTTACTTACATTTTAAGTATTCCGAGGTGTATTTCAATTGATAGTCCTTATAAACTGGTCGAAGTTTTGGACTGTTTGTTTCCTTTCTTATGTGATCGCATATGATATTGTCGCGATGGTGGATCAGAAAATGATTGGTTGCAGCCTTCAAAACGACATTGGAATGGTTTTAAACCCTTGTGCCAAAATGTATGGTATCTTAACTGTGTCTTGTTTCCGAAACCTTTTCCACATATTGGACATGTTTTGAGGTTGCCCAAGTGCGTCGAATTGTAGTGTTTTTTGAGCAAAACATTTGAAATGAAAATTAAATCACACAAATCACATTTGAATCTTCTCCCATCCGGAAGATGTTTCTTGCGTACATGCATTTTTAGTATCGTCTTTCGTATATATGTCTTGTGACACCAAAGACATTCAAACTTTGTACCGAATTCCGTCAAACTGCCTGGTTTATAAAACTCACACATGACATTGTGGTCGGCCATTTCTTCGGCCGTGTTGAAATTTTTGCTACAAATGCAAGTGAATGTTCTTGAATCGGAGTGGACACGGATTTGATGACGTTGAAATGCCAACAGAGAATTGTACATCTTCCCGCAAGTAACACACTCGATATCTTTTACCAATGTATTTTTTATGCATAGATGATTTTCGAACGTTGTTTTGTCAGTGGTATAGTTACGTCTGCATTTTTTACACCAAAAATTTCGAACACCCACAGTATGCTCAAGCAGCTTGTGTTTTTTGCATGATGCCTCTCTTTTGAAAACTTCTTTACAAATGTTACAAGCATAACCTTTTATTACAACGTTGATTTCTTTTGTGCATTGTTTCTGATGTTTGGTCAAATCGGGATTGGTGAAAAATATTTCTTTACAATTATCATTACGACATGGAAACATTTTGGAAGGTCTTTTTCTTTTGATCTTACAATTTGGCGCATCATTTTGATTTTGATTGGTTTCAATGTTAATGGACGGTTGACGTATTGCTGTTGGCTCAATTAACCTCAATTCCTTACTAATCGTACCATCGTCTATGATATGTTCCTCTTTTAGCTGAACACTGGGTACATCAGCAGCATCACTTTTATCTACAGATTCATCCATATCAGTTAAGTGACTTGGTGATTCAACACCATCATCCGATTGATATTCAAAATATTCATTCTGTGCCAAGTCATTTCTATTTTCAAGCATAATTTGTTCATTCAAAACACTTGGATCGAGTTTTGTTTCAACAGCCAACATTGAATCGAAAGATGTGACAGCACCGCAACTATTTTTATCGCTACTTTCGTGGATGGTGTAATGTTGATCCCCTTGAAAAATTGGATCTTCTGTTTTGATGCTCACTTTGATACACGTTACGGCATTGTGCAGTGTGTATAAGTTACTTCCGATTCGAATCAAATTTTCATCGCAATCTCTGCAGGTTTCTTTGGCAAAATGTTGTAAAATGTGATCATCTTTTTCACTGGCACTGCCAAATGTTTGCGGACAAAACAAACATTGACTATTTTCGTGGATGGTGTCGCGTTGATCTCCTTGAAAAATGTGTTCTTCTGTTTTAAAATTCCTTTTGACACATGTTACGGCATTGTGTGGAATGTATAAGCTACTCCCGATTTGAATCAAATTTTCATCACAATCTCTGCATGTTTCTTGAGCAAAATGTTGCAAAATGTGATCATCTTTTGCACCGGCACTACCAAATGTTTGGGAACAAAACGAACATTGATGGACTGAAAACAGGCACCTTTTTTATTAGATTTTGTTCAATTTAGATAAAAGATATGTCTATAACTTACCAACTACAATTTCGTCCATCATAACTTTAATTTGTTTTATTTCAATCTTTCATTAATCCCAAACAGATCTCAGCACTCTGATTAGTTTGTAAATAATATTTACTAAAAATGCTTGATGTTTTCAAATGTCAAATAGTTGATCTGTCAATATCAACTTAGTCAAAGTACATTCGGAGTATTTAATTATTTAAAGCAGATTTTATTCAAAAAAGAACAAAAATTCAAATTTTTTTTTTTTTTTTTTTTTTCAATTTTCATCATTTTTTTTGTAAATGATGCAAGTATATTTAATTTTGCTACAAAAATAATTAGAAGAATTCGGATTCTCGGTAATTGGGCCCCCTTTTTAAAAATCCGTGCATTTTTTTCTTATGTTTTAGAAGATTGGGCCTTGTTTTAAATCGCTTTTCGCACCCATCAAGTGTACATACGTAAAGTTTTTCATCCGAATGACTTCGTAAATGTAAATTCAGTTCTTTTGCTGTAGTAAATGCCTTGTCACACTCCGGATGCACACTCTTGCATTCATAAGGTTTTTCGCCATCGTGTCGATATGTGTGTACCCGTAGCTCCTGTCGGCAATAAAATGTTCTTGCGCATATTGTACAAAGAAAATTGCGAACTTTTAAGTGCACGGATTCATTGTGAATACGCCGTGTAACGTTTGTATGAAACCGTTGTCCACACGAGTCGCAACGAAATCGTTTCTCACTTGGCGAATGACAAATTCGTACGTGTCTTTTTATGGAATTCCAATCTTTCACGACTTTTCTACACAAATGACATTCGAATGATTTGACAATGTCCTCTTTTATACAATTCCGCTTGTGTTTGATTAAATCACCAGGCGTTAAGAATAGTTCAGTACAGCTAGTACAATAATATGTTTGAGTTGTCCCATGAACGTTGCGTTTGTGCCGTCGAGCTGTGTAAATATCAAAGAATGTCCGATCACAAATATCACAGTAACTGGTAACAGTTTCCTTAGCGATCTGATTTTTGAAAGTATTTTGCCGCATATATAACACTTGCATAAATCACTATCATCCTGACTTGTTAATTCACCCATTGGCCCCGCCAATTGATTTGAATGAGACATTTGTTCAGTAGGAAAAACGCTGGGTCCGTAGAATTTTCAAGCGTAAATTGTTGATTTAAAGCGAGTTTTGTTTTCTTAATACGTTTTTTACATTTCGGAAGATGTTTCTCTAGTGATAATTCATGCAAAAATACATTCTGGCAAAAATTACACTTGAATTTAACGGTATTTGGATCATGTTTCATTTGATTGTGCTTTCGCAATGAATCCTTTCGCGTTAAAGTCACATTTGGACATATTTCCCACGGAAAATGGCGCTGGTGTGATTATTACGTGTTTTTTCAAGCCGTCTTTGGATGAAAGCATTTTGCCGCATATATTACATTCATTGCATTTATTATCATTGTTACTTGTCGCTTCAGATGCGGCTTCAGATGCATCAATTGAGTCGAGTTCATATTCACAATTTTCTACCAAATTATTCTCATCGACAGGCATAAGTTGTTCATTCAAGGCAATTGGATCGGGTTTTGTTTCGATGGCAACAATTGAATCCAAAGATGTGACAGCTGTAAAACCCTTTCCATCTATTTTTTCGTCGATGGTTTCATATTGATCCTCTTGGAAAATTGGGTCTTCTGTTTTGATGTTCACTTTGATACACGTTACGGCATTGTGTAGAGTGTACAAATTACTACCGATACGAATTAAATGTTGGTCGCATTCGATACATGTTTCTTGGGCAAAATGCTGTAGAATATGATCACCTTTTTCGCTGGCACTGTCAAATGTTTGCGGACAAAACAAACATTGATGAACTGTAAACAATACAATTGTTCTGAAATGTTCTATATTTAAATGAAGTTATAGATTTACCTGTTCTAATCTCATCCATATTATCAAGATTTTCTTCGTTCAACGTTGTTTTTTCTTCAAAAACTGAATTCTTCTATTTGTTTGGTTGTTTTGTTTTCAAATGTCAAAGAAATATTTGTTTTTATTTTAAATCATTACTGAACTGAAGTGAACTGTCATTGTCTACATAAGTATTTTCTTGAGTATAAGTTATCTCTTACATGTTTACTGAGAAATTTTAATCCTTTCAAGTATTTTTAGGGCTATTTAAACAAATACATTTTTGTTATAAAAAAACATTGATTTAAATTTGCAAATAATTTATTCTTATTTATTTTCATCAATGTACTACTACTATAAATTATGAACTAAAAAAGTGAAATTTTCATGTGTCTTTAGATTGTTCCTTTTTCTTATAGCCATGCATTTTTTTCTTATGCTTATAAACATTGGCTGGAGTCTTAAATCGTTTGTCGCATCCTTCATATGGGCATTTAAAATTTCTTTCTTCCGTATGAGTCCGTATATGCATATTTCGTACTGTTGGATTAGAAAATGCTTTCTCACAAAGTGGACATTTATATGGAGTTTCTCCTGTATGTTTATTCATATGTATCCGTAGTGCCTGGTCGCACAAAAAGGATTTTCCACATGATGTGCACAAATATTTTCGAATTTTTAAGTGAACCGACTCATTGTGATTGCGAAGTTCATATAGATGTAAGAAACGTTTTCCACACTTTTCGCAGTTGTGTTTCTTTTCACATGGAAAATGTTTTCGCAGCATGTGTTTGCGAAGGGAGACTATGTCTTTAATAACTCTATGACACAAATGACATTCAAAAGTTTTGCCTAAATATATCAATGGAACTCTGGATCTCTTTTTGAACTCACATATGGCCTTATGTTCGGCAAGGGCTTCAGCTGTGGCAAAAATTTTCGTACAAGCACAAACACTGTGCACGCGATTTTTATGTTGTTGAACTCCGTTTTTGTCGAAAAATGTTTTAAGGCATATGTCACATTCGTTGTCGTTGCCATTTGGATTCGTCACACTAGAATGTTCGTTTTGTGTTATTGATCCAATTTCTATGCTCGGCGTGCAGATTGTATTCTCTGAATAATCGCCGGTGTCTTCCTCCTTAATTTGAACAGTGCACATATCTTCAGAAATTACGGTAGATAACTCACCTTCCATACGCTTCATTCTTTTATTACATTTAAAAAGATGCGATTCGAGAGATATTTCTTTCAAAAACACCGAAGAGCAAAAGTTACACTTGTATTTGACACAATTCGGATCATGTTTCATTTGCATATGCTTTCGCAATGAGTCCTTTCGCGTGAATATCATATTTGGACATATTTCACATGGAAAATGGCCGGGGGCACTATGCGTAAGCGTTTCGTGTACTTTTAGCGATCTGATGTTTGAAAGTATTTTGCCGCATATATTACACTTGCATAAATCACTATCATCCTGACTTGTCGATTCACCCGTTGGCTCTGCTAATTGATTTGAATGAGACATTTGTTCAGTAGGAAAAACGCTGGCTCCGTACAATTGATTTTCAAGCGTATATTCTTGATTTAGAGCGAATCTTGTCTTCTTAATACGTTTTTTACATTTCGGAAGATGTTTCTCTAGTGATAATTCATGCAAAAATACATTCTGGCAAAAATTACACTTGAATTTAACGGTATTTGGATCATGTTTCATTTGATTGTGCTTTCGCAATGAATCCTTTCGCGTGAAAACCAAATTCGGACATATTTCACACGGAAAATGGCCAGGAGCGCTGTGTGTGATTGATATGTGTTTTTTCAAGCCGTCTTTGGATGAAAGCATTTTGCCGCATATATTACATTCATTGCATTTATTATCATTGTTACTTGTCGCTTCAGATGCGGCTTCAGATGCATCAGTTGAGTCGAGTTCATATTCGCAATTCTCTACCAAACTATTCTCATTGGCAAGCATAAGTTGTTCATTCAAAGCAATTAAATCGGGTTTTATTTCGACGGCTAACATTGAATCCAAAGATGTGACCGCTGTAAAACCATGTTCATCTATTTTTTCGTCGATGGTTTCATGTTGGTCCTCTTGGTAAATTGGGTCTTCTGTTTTGATGTTCACTTTGATACACGTTACTGCATTGTGCTTAGTGTACAAATTATTACCGATACGAATCAAATTTTGGTCGCATTCGATGCATGTTTCTTGGGCAAAATGCTGTAGAATGTGATCATCTTTTTCGCTGGCGCTTCCAAATGTTTGCGGACAAAACAAACATTGATGAACTGTAAATAATAGAATTGTTTTGAAATATTCTATATTTAAATGAAATTATAGATTTACCTCTTATTATTTCATCCATATTTTCAAGATAATTTTTTTTCAACGTTGTTTTTTTCTTCAAAAACTCAATTCTTCTATTTGTTTGCTTGTTTTGTTTTCAAATGTCAAAAAATATGTGTTTTTTCATCATTATTGAACTCAAATGAACTGTCATTGTCTACATAAGTATTTTCTTAAGTATCAGAAAGAGGTACTAAAGTAAACATGTTTACTCTGAAATGTTAATCATTTAAAGTATTTGGAGGGTAATTTAAACAAAACAAATTTCGTTATAGAAAAAAAAATATAGTTTACAATTGAAAGCCAATTAAATTTGCAAATAATTTATTCTTATTTATTTTCATCAATGTACTACTATAAATTATGGACCAAAAAAGTGGAATAATAATTCCAATCATTTTCATGTGTCTTTAGATTGTTCCTCTTTTAAGTATCCATGTGTTTTCTTCTTATGCTTATGAGCATTAGCTGGAGTCTTAAATCGTTTGTCGCATCCTTCATATGGGCATTTAAAATTTCTTTCTTCCGTATGAGTCCGTATATGCATATCTCGTACTGTTGGATTAGAAAATGCTTTCTCACAGAGTTGGCATTTATACGGAGTTTCACCTGTATGTTTATTCATATGTATCCGTAATGCCTGGTCGCACAAAAAGGATTTTCCACATATTGTGCACAAGGATTTGCGAATTTTTAAGTGAACCGACTCATTGTGATTGCGAAGTTCATATGGATGTACGAAACGTTTTCCACACTTTTCGCAGTTGTATCTCTTTTCAAATGGAAAATGTATCCGCCGCATGTGCCTGCGAAGGGAGACTATGTCTTTAATAACTCTATGACACAAATGACATTCGAAAGTCTTTCCCCTATGTATCAATGGAAATCTGGATTTTTTTCTGAATTCACATATGGCCTTATGTTCGGCAAGTGCTTCAGCTGTACCAAACATTTTGGTACAAGCACAAACATGTGTACCTTCGGCACTGTGAAAGCGAATTTTATGTTTTCGCAACGCTATTTTTGATCCTATTGTTTTTCCACAGTTATCACACACAAATTTACCGATGGTGTTTTGTCGATTCATCGCACTTTTTGTTGGATTCGTGCCGTCTCTTCTACATTTATGTTTTTCATAAGTCGATCTTTCAGTAAAAACGCATCCACAGAATGTACAGCGAAATTTTTCAACTTTTGAATGTATGCAGGTTATATGTCTTGTAAGACTTGTCTTTGTTTCGAATATCATTTTGCAGAATTGACATTCGAGAATACCGTCAATAACTTTTGTACACTTTAGCTCATGTCTGGCTAAACCTTTTGCGCTGAATAATTTTATTTTGCACTTCGAACACTCATGCGTCCCGGATGTTTCACCATGCACGAGTACTTTGTGTCGTCGAACTCCATGTTTAAAAAATGTTTTAAGGCATATGTCACATTTGTTGTGGTTGCTATTTGATGCGTTTTTTTGATCATTATTTTCATTTTGTTGTGCTGCTCCTATTTCTACAGTTTCCTTGCAAATTGTATTCTCAGAATCATCGTCGATGTGTTCTTCCTTAATTTGAACAGTGTCTATGGTTTCAACGGTGGTGTCAAAATCTTCATATTCTAAGTTCTCAGGTCGTCTTTTACATTTAGAAAGATGCGCTTCCAGAGAGATTTCTTTCAAAAACACCGATGGACAATAATAGCACTTGAATTTGACACGATTCGGATCATGTTTCATCTGCATGTGTTTTCTCAATGAATCCTTTCGCGTTAAAGTCACATTCGGACATAGATGACATGGGAAAAGACCGGGTGCACCATGTGTGAGTGATTCGTGATTTTTTAATGATTTGCTGCTTGAAAGTATTTTCCCGCATATATTACATTCAAAGGAATTATTATCATTGTTACTTGTCGCTTCAGATGCGGCTTCGGATACATCAATTGAGTCGAGTTCGTATTCGCAATTCTCTACCAAATTATTCTCATCCACAAGCAAATGTTGTTCATTCAAAGCAATTAAATCGGGTTTTGTTTCAACGGCCACAATTGAATCCAAAGTGGTAAAACCATTTTCATCTCTTTTTTCGTCGATGGTTTCATGTTGATCCTCTTGGAAAATTGGCTCTTCTGTTTTTATGTTCACTTTGATACACGTTACGGCATTGTGTAGAGTGTACAAATTACTACCGATACGAATTAAATGTTGGTCGCATTCGATGCATGTTTCTTGGGCAAAATGTTGTAAAATGTGATCATCTTTTTCGCTGGCGCTTCCAAATGTTTGCGGACAAAACAAACATTGATGAACTGTAAACAATAGAATTGTTTTGAAATGTTCTATATTTAAACGAAGTTATAGATTTACCTGTTCTTATTTCATCCATATTTTCAAGACAATGTCCGTTCAACGTTGTTTTTTCTTTAAAAACTCAATTCCTCGATTTGTTTAGTTGTTTGGTTTTCAATTGTCAAAGAAATATTTGTTTTTTCTATCATTACTGAACTGAAGTGAACTGTCATTGTCTACATAAGTATTTTCTTGAGTATTACTAAAGTAAACATGTTTACTCTGAAATATTTTCAAAAATGCCATTCTTCGCCAAATAAATAAAAAATAATAAAAAAGACATTAAATTAAATTTGAGAATCATTTTAATATTTATATTTTCATCGCTATAACTAATAACTATATAATCTGTTTTATAATTCAGGCTTCGTTTCGATTATTTCCATATGTTATTACAATTGTGGTTTCTTTTTCTCATAGCCATGCATTTTTTTCTTATGCGTATAAACATTAGCTGGAGTTTTAAATCGTTTGTCGCATCCTTCATATGGGCATTTAAAATTTCTTTCTTCCTTATGAGTCCGTATATGCATATCTCGTACTGTTGGATTAGAAAATGCTTTCTCACAAAGTGGGCATTCATATGGTGTTTCTCCTGTATGTTTATACGTATGAATCCGCAGTGTTTGCTCGGTTAAAAAGGATTTTCCACATATTGTGCACAAGGATTTGCGAATTTTCAAGTGAACCGATTCATTGTGATTGCGAAGTAGAAATGGATGTACGTAACGTTTTCCACACGTTTCACACTCATATTTCTTTTTACATGGCACATGTATTCGCCGCATGTGTCTGCGAAAGGAGATTATGTCTTTAATAACTCTATGACACAAGTGACATTCAAAAGTCTTTCCCCTATGTATCAATGGAAATCTGGATTTTTTTCTGAATTCACATTTGGCCTTATGTTCGGCAAGTGCTTCAGCCGTACCAAACATTTTCGTACAAGCACAAACATGTGTACCTTCGGCACTGTGAAAGCGAATTTTATGTTTTCGCAACGCTATTTTTGATCCTATTGTTTTTCCACAGTTATCACACACAAATTTACCGATGGTGTTTTGTCGATTCATCGCACTCGCGGTAGGATTTGTTATATTTCTTCCACATTTATGATTTTCAAATGTTACTTTGTTAGTAGAAATGCATCCACAGGTTGTACAACGAAATTTTTTGACCTCTGAATGTGCATGGGTTATATGTCTTGTGAGACTTGACTTTGTTTCGAATACCATTTTGCAGACTTTACATTCGAGACTTTCGGCAACATCTTTTGTACACTTTAGCTCATGTCTGGCTAAACCTTTTGCGCTGAAGAATTTTATTTTGCACTTCGAACACTCATGCGTCCCGGATGTTTCACCATGCACGAGCACTTTGTGTCTTCGAACTGTATTTTTATCAAAAAATGTTTTATGGCATATGTCACATTTCTTGTCGTCGCCATTTGGTTGCCTCCCCTTTTCTCGATCATTATTTTCATTCGAATTGAATTCATTTATAATTTTGACGGGTGAATGTTCATTTTGTTGTCCTGGTTCCATTTCTACCGTTTCCATGCAAACTGTATTCTCTGAATTTTCGTGTTCATCATCAATTTGTTCCTCCTTAATTTGAAAAGTGTTCACAGTTTCAATGGTGGTGCCACTGTCTCCACTTTCTAATATCTCAGTTCGTCTTTTACATTTAGAAAGATGCGCTTCCAGAGAGATTTCTTTCAAAAACACCGATGGGCAATAATTACACTTGAATTTTACCCGATTCGGATCATGTTTCATTTTCATATGCTTTCTCAATGAATCCTTTCGCGTTAAAGTCACATTTGGACATATTTCACACGGAAAATGACCAGGGGCGCTGTGTGTGATTAATACGTGTTTTTTCAAGCCGTCTTTGGATGAAAGCACTTTGCCGCACATATTGCATTCATTGGATTCGTTTTCATTGTTTGTTGTCGATTCAGATACGGCTCCCGATGTATCAATTGAGTCGAGTTCGTATTCGCAATTCTCTACCAAATTATTCTCATCGGCAAGCATAAGTTGTTCATTCAAAGCAATTAAATCGGGTTTTGTTTCAATGGTCAATGATTTGACCGCTGTAAAACCATTTTCATCTCTTTTTTCGTCGATGGTTTCGTGTTGATCCTCTTGGCAAATTGGCTCTTCTGTTTTGATGTTCACTTTAATACATGTTACGGCATTGTGCTTAGTGTACAAATTACTACCGATACGAATTAAATGTTGGTCGCATTCGATGCATGTTTCTTGGGCAAAATGTTGTAAAATGTGATCATCTTTTTCGCTGGCACTGCCAAATGTTTGCGGACAAAACAAACATTGATGCACTGTAAACAATAGAATTGTTTTGAAATATTCTATATTTAAATGAAATTATAGATTTACCTGTTCTCATTTCATCTATATTCTCAAGATTATCTTCGTTCAACGTTGATTTTTCTTTAAATTTCCTCGATTTTTTTAGTTGTTTTGTTTTCAAATGTCAAAGAAATATTTGTTTTTTTTTTTATCATTACTGAACTGAAGTGAACTGTCAAAGGCTACATAAGTATTTTCTTGAGTATCAGTAATAGATAATAAATTGAAAATGTTCATTCTAAAATATTTTCAAAAATGCGAAGATTGGTTTATACCAAATAAATCAAAAATAATAAAAAAGGCAATAAATTAATTTTGATACCCATTTTTCATATTTTTTTTTGATCGCTATATCTATTAACCTAATAAGTTGTTTTATAATTCGTGCTTTGTTCTGATTATTTCCATTTGTTATTACAATTGTTCTTTCTTTTTCTTATAGCCATGCATTTGTTTCTTATGCGAATAAACATTAGATGGAGTCTTAAATCGTTTGTCACATCCTTCATATGGGCATTTAAAATTTCTTTCTTCCGTATGAGTCCGTATATGCATATCTCGTACTTTTGGATTGGAAAATGCTTTCCCACAAAGTGGGCATTTATAAGGTGTTTCTCCTGTATGTGTATACATATGAACCCGTAGTGCTTGGTCGCTTAAAAAGGATTTTCCACATATTGTGCACAAGGATTTGAGAACTTTCAAGTGAACTGATTCGTCATGAGTGCGAAGTTCATATAGATGTAAGAAACGTTTTCCACATTTTTCGCATTTATGTTTCTTTTCAAATGGAAAATGTATTCGCCGCATGTGTCTTCGAAGGGAGATTAGGTCTTTAATAACTCTATGACACAAATGACATTCAAAAATTTTGCCCAAATGTATCAACGGAAATCTGGACTTTTTTCTGAATTCACATATGGCCTTATGTTCGGAAAGTGCTTCAGCTGTGGCAAAAATTTTCGTACAAGCACAAAAATGTGTTCCTTCGGCACTGTGAAAGCGAATTTTATGTTGTCGTAACGATACTTTCGATCTTAATGTTTTTCCACAGGTATCGCATACAATTTTACCGATGGTGTTCTGGCGATTCATCGAACTTGCAGTTGGTTTCATTCTGTCTTTTCTACATTTATGATTTTCAAATGTGACTTTGTTGATTGTAACGCTTCCACAGGTTGTACAACGAAATTTTTCAACTTCTGAATGTGTATGGTTCATATGTCTTGTAAGACTTGACTTCGTAGCAAATACCTAAGGGGAGAATCACAAAAGAAAAGAATGAAATTTAAAATAATCGATAAGTAATCGGAAAATAATCGAAAATAATCGAAAACATATAATGAAAAAATTGCAAAGCAATAGCCACAACAACATTAATGTCCAGCAATTGCTTTAAATTGAGATTTGGTAGTTGTAATCGTCGATTTCTGTGGAAGAGAATAAAAAAAAATACTAGCTTACTATAGAATAGTACTTCTGGGTCTGCTGGTCACTACCTAGATACATACAATAACAGAAAAACAAACAATGAACATAAATTGCAGTAGATGAAATTAAATGAAAGCAATGAAACATGATTCGAAGTGAAACATACCCCCCCCCCACACTTTTTCTGGAAAAACCGATAAAAATCCAATTCGATAGAATATTTCACTTTCAATGCAAACTGAAAATTTATGCGCAGGAATTTTAGTTCTTACACTGGCAATGGTTCGTCACGATGTGAATTGTTGCCGGCTTGTTGGTTTGAAATGTCACAGTCAAATACACTCTCACACCAACACATTCAAATCGGTTTGTCGTTGACAGTGGCCGATATTGAACAGCGAATGCGTTAGCTACTATGCAAAATATGACAATTGTTACCCGAATGTGATTTATTGTTGCTGTTGATACAGTTTTCGTTTATCCATTTGCGTCGCCCTGTTGTCGTCGTTGTGACGTTGTTCCGATGCAATGCTACTGTGTGTACAACATTGATTCCTTGTGATGTTCTCCGCTGCTACTACCAAATCTCAATTTGTTTGCTGTCGCGACTTTTGTTTCTTTTGTATGTATTTTCTCTTACACTCACTCATCCACACACACACTCTCTTTTTATTTCACATAGATTCAATTTCCATCATCGTCATTTGACAATCTCATACGTAATACATATATTACAATCAATGTATGTGAATGACGATAATCGAAACTAATCGAAAAATAATTGTAAAATAATCAATAATAATTAATAAGTAATTTTTAAGTGATTTGTCCCTAGCGAATACCATTTTGCAGACTTTACATTCGAGACTTTCGGCAACATCCTTTGTACATTTTAGCTCGTGATTGGCCAAACCTTTTGCACTGAAGTATTTCATCTTGCATTTTGAACACTCTTGCGTCCCGGATGTTTCACCATGCACGAGCACTTTGTGCCGTCGAACTGTGTTTCTATCATAAAATGTTTTGAGGCATATGTCACATTTCTTGTCGTCATGTGGTTGCCTCTCCTTCACTTGATCACTATTTTCATTCGAATTGGATTCATTTTGTTGTGCTGGTCCTATTTCCTCAGTTTCCGTGCAAATTGTATTCTCATAATCATCATCGATGTGTTCCTCCTTAATTTGAATAGTGTCTATGGTTTCAACGGTGGTGCCAAAATCTTTTCTTCCCAATTTTTCGGCTCGTTTCTTACATTTGGGATAATGATTTTCTAGAGATGATTTCTTCAAATACACATTATAGCAATATTTACACTTGAATTTGACACTGTTTGGATCATGTTCCATTTTCATATGCTTTCTCAATGACTCCTTTCGCGTTAAAACCAAATTCGGACATATTTCACACGGAAAATGACCAGGGACACTGTGTGAGATTAATACGTGTCTTTTCAAGACGACTTTGGATGAAAGCACTTTGCCGCATATATTGCATTCATTGGATTCGTTTTTGTTGTTTGTTGTCGACTCAGATATGGCTTCAGATGCATCAATTGAGTCAAGTTTGTATTCGAAATTCTCAACCAAATTATTCTCATCGGCAAGCATAAGTTGTTCATTCAAAGCAATTAAATCGGGTTTTGTTTCAACGGCCACAATTGAATCCAAAGTCGTAAAACCATTTTCATCT